TGCTGAACTGCAAGAGGAGATCTTTAAATAGACTTCGTTCCTGATGTGAAGCATCCTTCGCTATCCCACTTCTTGGTTCCCACTATCCCGCCGCACCGAGAACTGCCCGCTTACTTTCAGCTTCCACCTCCCATCCCTTGGCCATTGCCCTCCCCAGGCTGAGTTTTCTCAAGCAGAAGCCAAACAGACCTTAAAAGCTTTCTCATCTCTGGCTGCATTTGGAACACACAATGTTCAGATGGCTTTAAATGTATCGAAATAAATGGGGTTTCGTCCTCTCTGGCTTAAAGTACAATTGTATCCCCAACTCGCTTTGCAGTGGTGCAATTGCTGGTGTGAGAGCTGACCTGAATAACTAAGGACTTTGCTGCTGCTGCACTGTGAAATACAATCAAAAAGCAGTTGTGCTTACTGTAAATTTCAAATTGATCAGCATTATGTAAACCTCACCTTACTTTCTAGTGTTATCTTTAGTTTGTGGCATTAGGAGCAAATAATATGTACAAGAATTAGGATACTAATCATCTGGCATTATCCCTTTTGCAAGAGACTCTTCTATCTCTAAATTCATTGCAGATGTTGTTATGGGATTGTACACTTGTCACCCAAAGGAGCATCCAAATATAGAGAACAGCACATAGAAAGTTTCCCTGCCTTTTTTAGAGAAGCTTTGCTTTACTTTCAGTGACTCCTGACTGAACTGCTGTTTATGTACCTTCCCCACTACCATTTAAACCGGATTTCAAAAAATCTTTTCACATTAAGCACATCATTAAAATAACATAGAGTGGTCCAGTAAAGCGTTTAGTCTCAACCTTATGTACTTTGCTGGACATGGGGCTTCATTAAAACTATTGATAGAGAGGCAACTTGTTTTCAATTTATCCTTTCTGTTTCCCAAAAGCAAAAATAATTTGCACTTTAGAATCTTTCATCCGATGTTTTTATGGTACTTAATGGAAAGATAAGCTCTGCAAGTTGAGCTAGGTGAATATTCTTTATGGTAGATAGGAAACTCATTAATGCAAGTTTGGACTGGTCAAGCAGTATGGGAAAAAGAGGATGAAATTTCATAGAATCATAGAATTGTTTAGG